AGTTGAAGCAAACTATGACAGTTTGCAACCATAGCAGCAATGGCGATGGAAAGTGAGGCAATTTCGTTGACCTTTGCGGGCAAGCCCTAATTTAACATTTATGAGGTTTTTATTTAAGAAGATGGCCTCAAGGACATGACTTCGTTTCCGCCTTGTGACTTGTTAGTGGATTCCGCCTTCGCCTCGAAGATTCCAATTATTGTTGTTACTTTCACTACTTCTTCGTAACTAAGTCAAGAGGACGGAATTTACTGGGATGTTTTTTTACGGCCAACTGCAAGGAGGAAAACGTGCATTTCCGAAATAGGGAACTAGAATTTAAATTTACAATTGAAACCATGTGGAGTTGGTTAAAATGTTTAACTTCGACTACTACACCAACTTGAAGCATATTGACACTTTCACCAAATCCTCGGAAATTATCAATAATATTTTAAGTAAATAATAATTTCAATTTAAATATGTACAATTAGAGTAAAAGGTATTTTCTTTAAAATTACATCTCATGATGCGCACTGAGAAAAAGAGTATGATCACGATTACCAGAATATGGTAAAATTTACCGTTTTTTGGGCTCTATGGAAGCACCTAAAGCTCGGTCATTTTTATCATGTTGCTTTGGTAATGATTCTGGTAATTATGATATAATTTTATAATTTGTGATAAAATTTGGCAAATGTGATAAAATTCGGTGATTTTATCATGATACTTTAAAGTGTATCATAAAAACCATTTATTCGGTTAAATTTACAGTTCATTTTTGTATTCTTCATTCACTATATGTGTGGTAATAAGATCTGTAATTTTGAAAATCAAAATTTCCGAGCTGGACCATATGAACGGAAAAATTATCAAATGAATAATTTAGGTTTTTTACACCAAAAATGTCATTACAATACAGTACGGTATATTTACCAGAATTTTTTTCTGTGTAACTATAACAGTTGAAAAAATAAACTTTACAAAGTGCAATTGTACTAGACATTAATACTGTGCAAAATCAGTATAAGAAAAGAGTTAGATATCAACATCTAACACGCACACACACAAATTTATAAATATCCTATAACAAAAATATACTTTAGTCTAACTGGAAAAACGAAACTACCACAAATGATGTAGATAATTCATTTGCATATCTTTTTAATTAGATTTTTAAATAAGCAAAATAAATTTAATTTCGAAATTTATGCATTTTTTCAATAATTCAATCAAATATAAACTCAAAATTATCTATATGTGATAAATTAAATTTATGACTATTTATAGTTTAAGTAATCGTCACAATATTCATTTGAGTAATATTTTTTGTTTATTTACTAATTTAAAAAAAATTGTCTAAATAGTTTTCAGAAAAGAAACTATTTCCTTTCTTCGTTTGACTTTATAAGATCTAAATTTAATCAAACGGAATCACATTCGAGCAAATTGTAATTCACAAATTGTAAACAATGTAATTCACTTAGAAACTTAGATCGTTCGGAAATATTTTATTTTATTTTATAACGGGCGTTGGACAGCCAATCTAATTCTGGGTTACGACTATCATTGTTCAACTCCATGGCCTTCTTATTTTGAACTCAATCCAGAAGACAAGAGAACTCCTGGGACAAACTTAAAAAATAGGAAAGGTTTTTTTTTGTTTTGTTTTTGATGGCACTAACCCATATTGGCGTTATATGGGGAGGAAATCAACGAAAACCTTCCACGGTTAGCACGACGGCAAGGGGAATATAATCCATTGAGGTCTTCATTGATTTGCCATTGAGAATATTTTACGTGCATGGTGCTCGGTATGAGCTCGGAGCAGAATTCGTATCAACCGGTATCTCGTTCTGGAAATTGTACTTCTACTACAGTTCACAAATGTATCTGCTAAAGGCTATCAAGAGTGCTAATTTGGAAAGGGAAGCTTAATTTACCGATAATACAGAACAATTATATTTTTTATACGAAATTAATATAAAACTCCTGAGTCTTGCATATCCTGAACCAGACACTTTTATTAAGATTTTTTTTGTCAATTTTAAATTTGTAAAATTGTATTAAGGAGCAATGGAAGATTTATCATAAGCAAATAAACTGCTTCTGATAAAAATCAGTTTATTTGCTGAAAAAAAAAAGACTCTGGTTTCAACTGCAAAGTATTCCACAATTTTCTAATTTGCCGAAAGTCAGTTAAAACTTCCCGACAAGTCAACATTTTTGAAAGGTCACGGTGACCTTCAATTATGGCGCCTCTATATTATCCATAAAAAAAGAAAAAAATTGGCTCCTGTATATTATCCATAATAATAGAAAAAAAATTGGCGCCTCTAAAATCTCCACACTAATTCTGTCAGAAGAAAAACATTCTTAGCTCTCGTTAACTACTAATAAACGAGTGGTGTATATTATAAATTTATATTTCCTTAAAATTTCACTTAAGTAAAATTAATTAAATTTAATAATTATTGTTTAAAACAAACCATTCACGAAATATTTTATTATGAAAACAAATCATTCACGAGATATTTTAGCGCGAAAACGGACCTTCGAGATAATATTTAATCATGCAAACGGGTCTTTTCATAAAATATTTTATCTTAAAAAACGGACCCTTCACAATAATTTTGAAAAATGGAATCACCTACGTCATTATTTGGCAGACGTGAGAGAAGAATGACTGGTAGGAAAACAACGTAAAAAAAACTTAATACTCATTTAAAAGAAGAAGAAAAAAAAAACATCTCCTATAAATTAATTTACTCTATATTTAAAACATAAATTTTTATTTACTACTATCACAATGATACACCCAAACGACCACAGAAATATTAAAAAAATTTATTTATATTTATTAATTTCGTTTGTTTTTACCTGAAGCGTTTTATTCCGGTACGATCAGAACTGTTGCAATTATACGATTGAAGAATATTGTTAAATGAATTATGACTTCAGTTTGAATGACTTCATGAATTTTTTTCCATTAAATATTATTTATTACTAATTACTCAATTTGTTTATTGTTATTTTTTAACTTAAAATTTTAATTTCCGTACGATGAATACAATGACAAAATCAGGAACCTTTCCAACCTATTCGCAGAATTAGGAAGCTGATTGAAAGAAACTAATTTTAGATTCAAAAAATTATTAATAACTTTTTCAGGAATTCACAAAAACAAGACTTAAAAAAAAGTAAGAGTACAAACAAACCCTGTAATGGAGAATGGAATAAATATTTCATAGAGAATAGTATACAAGTTTTGGAATACTTAAATAATATTTATACACTAATAATCTAAGTTAATTATTCATAATTTAGTTGAGCTACAAAACAAAATGAAACAAAAAATAACATTTTCAGTGTCAACAATTAAATTTATATTTATCATATCGAACTCGTTAAGATAAGCTTACTGATATATTAAACAGCACAATTTTATTTGTCAAAAAATAAAACAGACGTTTTTTCTCTTCTTTTAAATAACAATTTGACGAAGTCAAGAAGAAATACTTTAAGTTCTTTACATTATTGCTGCTATGTAACATTATTTATTAAAAAATAAATATGCAAAAATTTAATAACAAACTTTCGAAACTTACAAGCAGTAAATGTTGAACTATTTAAATTTTAAAATATATGTATATCCGTAAATATATTTGAAATTCATATTTTTTTAAATCTGGTGCTATCACGAATGGTAATAGATTTTATTTTGAATTTAATAAAGTGTTTTATTTTGCAAATGTTGAAATAAACACATTCAAAGATGTTTACTATTAACAATTTAAATTAACTATCAATGTGACTTACGAAAACAATGAGAAAAATCTTTTTACGTCAAAAGAAAAGGATATGCAAATTTTATATTGTTAACCAATAGTGGTTTCAAAATAGGTCTCACATTAATCATACGTCTACAAATGAGTAGTAACAAGAGTAATATTTGTTATTACATTAAAATTGCCTTATCTACTTTTAGTTTTTAAAAAAAATTAAAATAGGCCTTCTAATTAACCTTATAAAAAAGAAATACGTTGGCATCAAATGCAATAAACATATGAAATCAATAAAACCTAGCATTTTTAAAGAAATATAAATTTTATTAGAAATGAATAATATTAAATAGGCTGTTACCTAAAACAGATAAACAGTAAATATGGATATTAAACTCCTTATTAGAGAATGATTAAGCATCTTGAAAGAATTTAAATTTCAAAAACAAGCCATTCAAAAAAATCATTACGTAATAAATAAAAAAAGTTATTAAATTTATATTTCATACTTCTAATTATGGAGAAAATTTTAATTTAACTTGTAAATAAATCTAACCAAAGGTAAAAATAGTAGCAAAATTTATTTCGAAAATAAAGCAAAAAAAAACCAAATATATAGCATTTTTTTTCTTCTATTAATATAACTTTCTTATTGATATGTTTCTACTGCATTACTAACACATTTATTTTCAAATACGAAATTCAAAACAATAGAATAAAATTCTAAAAGCGGAAATTTTAAATAAAATGAAACATTTGTATCATACCTGATTTCTGTTTTCACCAAAATAATAATAAATAAAATTTTATTTTAAGAAAATGAGTATAAAATAATATAGGAAATTTAAATTATTATCATCCAATCTGGTAAAAATTCCTACTTTTAATAAGTATTAAAACGAAAAACTCGAAATCTAAAGTAAACAAAAGTTAGACATTTCCCCTTTAAAAAAATATTTTAACGAATCTAACAAAATTTTTCTAACAAATGTTTTCTAAATCAAACAAAAATTAGATTATAGTTTGAAAAAATAAATATTAATTTGTTTTGTAAAATAAATATCAGACGATTATCTCAGAAAAAAATATTTTTATTATTTTAATATATTTTAATTTATTATGTTTAATTCATTTAGATATAAAAAAAAGGATGTACTTCAGAATACTACATTTAATACAATTTTGTTTACAACAAATCAAACAATATAAATAAAACTTTTAAAATCAAAATTTACTTACACAATTCCACTCAAGATTTAGCAAGCAGGTGATAAATGATCAAAGAATATCACACTAAACCATGTTCTACTTTCATTTTTGTCTAATAGCCGCAAGTCCAAAAATAGAAAAGTAATAAACTAATTGAAAACAAATCACGTATTTCCTCAACGCCAATGGTCTTTTTGATAACTACATCGAAAACACCTGTACGAATTTCTTTTTATCGCGCACCGGCAAAAGTAAAATAGACGAAAACTTTCTCTTTTAGATTTGCACTCCGCAACATCTGCTTGAAAATAAAACTTTTTCCTCAACTTGTCCATCCGTTCCGTAGTGAGGGAGAATCCATCAAAAGCAGCGTGGGTTACCGGCTCAAACAGTCGCCAAGATATGTCGCCAACATGTTTAGGTGCTAATTGAAAACAAATGTTTGTTATTTAGTTAGTATTTTCTTAAACTAACGAACTCTAAAAACAAATGATTATACATACTTGCTTTTTTAAATGAGATCTATCTGTACATTTTATGATTATTTTAAGCGAATATTAAAATTAATGGTTTTGTAGAATAAAATAGATATTTACTTTGTTTTTATTTCCACTGGGATTTATTTTATTTCTAGCTTCTGCATTTATTTAATTTAGATCGATGCTGCGGTCTTTTTTCTTTTTTTTTTGATTCATTTAAGACACTTTTATTACAGTTAATTTGATAAATAAAATAAGTCCAGCTTAAAAATAAATATTTTAATTTTTACATTACAGTACAATTACGGTATTGCAATTACATTATTTTACAATTGCATTATTATACTTATTATTTTTATTTACATTATTATACATTATTATTTTTATTTAATGTTTACAAAAATTAGTGACAATTTCCTCGAAAGTCATTAAATAGTGAAAGAACTTGCTAATTTAATAAGGTCATAATTTATGTTTAAAAAAGTACTTTTTATGACAACCGTTACAGTGAATAATTATTGATTTTGTGAGGGAATAAAGAAAGAAAAGAATAAGAAGTAAATAGAAGCAAAACAATAATTTATCAGTAAAAATGAGATGAATCAGTAAATGGGGGGAATTAGTTACGAAACTGGCGAACCGGTAAATGAGCATATTGGTGAATGGGCGAAAAAAAATTTTAAATATATTTTTAATTGCAAAAACTCATGACTAATTCGTCAAAATCCCTTTAAAGCGAAAGTAGGAAATGGACTTATTTTTAATTTGGTGATTATAAATCTATGTTAGTTTGAGAAAACATTCTGCTGAGATTATTTAAATACAATCATATTTGATATTTATTAATAATAGCTAAGCACTACAAGTCGCGAAACTACTGTAGTATTTTTCGTAGTTTGTAATGTAGTGCACTTTTTTTTAAAGAAGTAGTGCATTGTACGCTATACTAAAATTACTGAAGTTTGTGGCGATTCCTAGAAATTACTTTTAAAGTTAATTCAGTAAAAAAAAAAATAGGGGGGGGGGGTTAAGCGCAATTAATATTACGAATCAGATTGGTCTTCGCAGATCTGGCACAATGAGAATGCCCCTGTGGCCGAGCGATAATAGAAATTACGTCTGATGCTCAATAGCAGCAATTTTGTTTTCTTTAATCTAGCCATTATATATTATGACTAGCATTTAAACTAGCCATTACGAATAATGTCTTATTTATCACTTCTGTTACACCTTCAAAAGCACCTATTGTACTGTACGAAAAATACAAAACGGACCGCACTGAATAACTTTTGATCGGATCTTCACGTTCTAGACATCAATTTTATTGGTTCGTGGGGGTGACCTCAAATAGGCTATTTAATTGGTGCAAACTACATTTCAAGTTCCAAAATCAGACACAATCGTACTCTCTCTGAATAAATATACCCCCAAAACATAGGGGGTAGACGCAATCTGGGAAATATGGTCTCCACAGTTTGAACTCGAGAACTTTTAAAGCAAATAGCAACATTTTTGCACACCAACTATAAAATTCGTTTATTTATGCAAAATATAAATAATATTTATATAGACTTAGTAATATTTATTTTTTATAATTAAGTAAAATGATAAAAAATAATAAATATTTACTAAATGTAATATTTTGCATGGAATTACCTTTGGAAAAGCAAAATTTATAGTTGTGTGGAAAATTTCTTACATTCGCTTAAAAAATTCTTGAAATATGGTGAAACACGAAAAAAAAAAAAGAAGCTATAAACGTTTAGTAGCATTACAAATATTTTATAATTTCCTAGCATTTCTTAAATTAAAATAACAAAAACAACGGAAAATCGTTTATTCATCTATTATTTTTGATAGTAAAATTCAGTTAATGATATTTACAATAGTTAGCTGTAAGATCCTTTTTTTCCTGTGTTTCTCAGCTTGATGATCTGGATAAAACGAGAAATGAAATTGGGACCATTTGCTCCCACTAGAAAACTGATAGAGAATGGGGAAAAAAGTTTTCCCTACTCCATGGGGCGCCCCTTTATTGGGGCACCCCATGAAGAATTTGAGCCCGGCATGGGGTATTGGAAAAGACAAAATTACTTGATAATGAAAGAAAATGGGTGGCAAAATTTCTAGGAATTGTTTGTGAATTTAGGTGAATAGATATGGCTCCTCTTCTCTGTGCAGGGGGCTATTCTACTCTACTTTTCTAAACTTGATACAGCATAGAAAGAGCAATAAATAAAGTGACAGACGATCTGAAAGGTATTGTCTTGTCTGAAATTTCAGGGAAGGGGAGATTTTAGAAGCCACGTGACATTCATCAGGGTGTTTTTTGTCTCCCTATTATAAATGTCTATAGACCTATGGTTCCCAATCAGGGGAGAATTAGGTGAATTTAATGGTTTCAAGGAGGGTATATTATTACGCTTGTTCTCTTCTACATATAATTAATGTTTAAAGTACTCTTTTAAATAATTTATGTATTATTGATTTATTTCACTCGAACAACTAGTTTGTTTTTATAAAAACGAACTCTGAAAACATTGGTAGATCAAAATTGTTCTATACTGTACAAAATTCCGCATCAAATTGCGGTATAATTAAGCATAATTTTGGTATAATTAAGTTCAAATTAAGTAACAGCTCATTGTCTGTGTCATCCATAAATCCATTTTACGGTAAAATCCATTTTAACCGTAAAATATTATGAAGTAATCTTTACAATAATATTTATTCACAGGAAGTGCATAATTTGAAACTAATATTTATTTACTGGAAATACTATTATAACCTTCCAAAGTTTTCGTGAAAATTTTAATTTAATTATTAAATAATCGTGATACATTTCTATTTTTATAATATATATTTCCATTTTTTATGCATGATTAAAGTTAAGGGTATTTTTAGTTAAAATTGCACTGCATATTATGATATAATAATAATAGTTGAATAAATAAACTAAAAATAACACGTATGTACAAAATATTGAAACTTTGTAACGTGTAATACGAAAGAAAGTACATATTAGTTATCTATCGTTTATATGTACCTATGCACACTTACACATATATAAACTTCTTATGACAAAAAATTTGTTAAATAAATATTCAGGAACTAGAAAGCTATTGAAAATGATACATTATATTCATTCGCATTTTAATTTAGCATCGTAATTCAGCAATCTGGTTCAATTTAAAGAATACTTATTAATAATTCATTTAATAATGCCGATTTTTCAGTAGTTCCAATAATTATTTTTCTTATTCAATAGTTCAATCATACATGAGCTCAAAAATACTCGAATGTGATTAAGTTTGCCATATGCTTGGTAGCAGAATTTAAAGAGTCAAATGAAATTCATTGCCATACCATCACAGGTACTTTGCAGAAAAGTAAAATAGTAATCGGAAACACTTAAAGTATTCCGTTTCGTATGAAATTCGAAATAAAAGGAAAACCATTCTTTACTTTTCATGCATACAGATAGAAAAACATATACATGTATATATTTTTTTCCGTTTTGTTTTTAAATTTTACTTGTTGTCTGTCTTTCCTTCCAGCTATTTTTTCCCTTTTTTTTAAAGAAAAAACAATCTGACGTGGAAAATAATCTGCAGATGGTGTGATTATTTGAAGAGAGTTATATGTAATAGATTAAGGCTGTTTTTCGAAGACTCCGTCGTAATACGAAATGATGCTTTTTTGCAAATAATATGTTATTTTTATAACTGCTGTGAGTTTGCAACTGTTACTCACGACTATTCTATCTTAAGCCATCGCTTTCCACGCTCATATTGAAAATGGTGAAAAACTTCAATATGGAGAAAAACTACAGTTTGTGAAAATAAAAAGCACTTGTGGTCTAATTTTTTTATATTTAAAAACTTACTCCAATGCTGCATTACCTGGGCTCATAAAAATTTGCAAAAAATTGAGAATAAGGCAGGGATTTTGATAATTTTCATCTACGTAGAAAAATGTCCCCAGATTAGCGATTTTTAAAAAATTTTAATAAATTTTAAAATATTCCATTTATTTGTTTGTTCTAAAGCCTGGATAGTTCTTCACGTCAAGATTATATACACAGTTTAAAATCCTCCCTTTGCTTCAAGATTAAGGCACTTAAACTCCGGCTTTTTTATTTTCCTTGGCGACAGAGCTTCGAAAAACAGCGTTAAGCACTTGTTATAATATTTTTGTTTACTTTATTACATATATTTGACTAAGAAATTTTGAGACAAATTTTTATTTATTTATTATTTTTTTTAAAGCTACAGGTGCAAACTTTTAACTACTCTGCGTCGGAGTCAAGTAATTTTTTTCATTTTAAGAATTTTCAACTCCGACTCCTGCCAAATATTCGGACTTCACAGTTCAGGATGAAGCAGTGAATGTACTTTTCAAAAAGTCTACAAAGAAATACTTATTTTTAAAATGGAAGATCTTTCCGTCGCATCAGTCGGACAGGAAAGACAGCTAATGATTAACGAAGGCACAAATATCAAAGTCAGCAGCTTCCTTTTTTTCTCAGATCTCGACTTATGATTTCATTAATTTGAGGAAATATGAGAAGTAGTATGATACGAGAAGACCAAAAAGAATTTCATTCTTCAAGCAGTAAAAACTAAAAAGAAGCGGAGAAGAAATGTGGCTATTGAGGTCAAAGTTCTAATTTAAATATCATTTTTCGGAACTTCCTGAAGTCGTGAAGCCTTGAAGGGATTTAGATCAAAAAATAGCAATATCTCACAATTTTGAGTCATTCATTTTCTTGTACCTCTGGAATGTAATTAATCAAAACATGTGGACAAATTTATATATTTTCTTGAGGGGTTTTTTATTCATTAAAAAAACTGCGGTTTAAAGTAAGAAAAACCACAC